AAATAAATTTCAAGCCACAATATTGAAAGATGCTATGGACAGTATGTTGAATGACCCAAGGAGCATCAAAAGAAGATGGAGGGAAAGACCTTTAGTTGTGTTCTGTTGACTATGGGAACATTATAAACTATGTTATCGACTGTGTGGATCATAACAAAATAAGGATAATGTTGAGAAGGAAATGCGTATGCAGAACCTTGGACTGGAAAGTCATTGACTTTGGTATTTTCAAACTCCCAGCTCTGCTCTGAGGATGCAGTGAGAAAGAAGGTTCCTGGATAACCAGAAACACACCTGCTTTTGCTAACTTGAGCAGAAAGAATGTATCATGGATGAACTTGGGCACCTCTTGAGGTGAAGAAAAGACTGGCCAGGTCCAGACATTTGAAGCTTCCTATCCTACTATGGAGCTCTGGTGGCTTAGTGGCAAAGAGTCGCACTGGCAATTCAAAGGTACATGGTTCAAATCCAGATGCTCCATGGGAGAAAGATAGGCAATCAACTCCCATGCAATTAACTGCCTCTGAAAATCCACTGGAGGGCCCACTATGGGTCAATTCTGCCTTGGCAATAGACAACAACAACAACAACTTTACTATGGAGAAATCGTAGTGATACAAGTACTTGGTTATCAACAGTCTGCTCTGTGGAAGAAAGACAGAACAATCTACCTCTACAAAGATTATTGTTAGATGCCGTCAAGTCAGCTGGCACTCATAGTGATCTTGTGAACAATGGATCTGCACCTTTCCCCATCCTGTGCCATCTTCATGTCCCTGATATGTTCAAGCTCATTGTTACATTCAGTGTGTCAATCTATCTAGTTGAGGGTCTCCTCTTTTGATGGCTCTCTACCCTTCCAAGTACTACATATATCATGCTCAAAACATGTAAGATGAAATTTCACCATCCTTACCTTTAAGGAGCACCCTCATTGAATTTTCTCCTAGATATAGTTGTTCTTTTGGCAGCGCACAAGATATTCAGTATTCTTCTCCAAGACTGCAACTCAAAGGCATCAATCCATCTTCTGTCTTTCTTATTCATTGTCCAACCTTCAGATGCATGTTGTTGTTATGTGCCGTCGAGTCACCTGTGACTCATAGAGACCCTATGTACAACAGCCCTAAACCTTGTTGTATCTCTTGCCAACCTTATTGTCTCTGACACACCCATCACCATTACCCCAGTGATGGAACAAATCCATCTCATCTCTTCTGCGCTGTCCCTCCACCCTCCCAAACATGACGTCCCTCTCCAAGTACTGATCCTGCCTTGCAACATGTCCAAAGTATATCACAGATGGAGTTTCACAATCCTTGCCTCCAAGGAGCAGCCTGGATTCACCCTCTCCAGGACGGACTTGTTTGCTCTCCTAGTAGTCCATGGTATATGCAATGCTTTTCTCCAGCACCAAAACTCAAAGGCATCACCTCTCCTATCATCTCTAGTCACTGTCCAGCTTTCTGATGCATAGCAAGTAATGGCAAAGACCATGGCCTGTATCAGGCACACAGCCTCCAGACTGACATCATTGCTTCTCAGTACCTTGGAGAGGTCTCAAGTAAATTTTCAGTTGGCTTGAGTCTGTTGCACCTTAGTCTTTAAACTAATATCATCGCTCCTCAACCCCTTGGAGAAGTCCTTGACAGCAGATTTTCCTAATGCAATACATCTTTTGTTTCTTGATTGCTGTCTTCCAAATTAGCACAGCCTGTGATCACATCCAGGACTGAATCTCTTTGTTAAAACATGCCAATTGATCCATTAGCTCCTGGGCCTTATTTCTTTCCAGTATCTTCAGTGCAGCTTGAACTTCTTCCTTCCTTATAATTGGTTCTTGATCATTTCCTACTTTCTGAAATGGTTCTGTGTAAGCCAATTCTTTTTGGTACAGTGACCTGTATATTCCCTCCAGTTTCTCTTGATACTTTGTGGATCATTAAAGATTTTGCCCATAGCATCCTTCAGTATTGCAACTTGAGGCTTGAATTTGAGAAATGCTGAGCACGTTCCTCCCGTTTGATTTTCTAACTCCATCTCTACACATTTTGTTGTAAACTTAGCTTTGTATTCTTGAGCTGCACTTTGAAATCTTCTGCTCATGTCTTTTACTTCACCACTTCTCTTTGCTTTGCTTTCTTTACATTTGATCTTTTCTTTCTCCCCTTGTCTTTGTAATGACCTTTTGCTTTCTTCACTGATGGTATTCTTGATGTAATCCCATAGCTCATGAGGTCTTCTATATTTAGTGTTGAATTTCTCAAACCTGTTCTTGAGATGGTTTTAAAGTTCAGGTGGGACACATTCAAGGTCTCAAGGTTGTGTTTTGCTTCTTTTAAAGATTGTTGTTGTTTTGTACCATTGAGTCAGAGCTGATCAGTAGCTAACACTCCATGGTGTTTTTAGAGGTTGTCGGTCTCATGGGAGGAGATTGTCCATTCTTCTCCTGAGGAGTAGTTGGTAGATTCAAAACATGTTTCTTGATGCTGTACAGCTTAACGCCTTACCACTAAGCCACCAGAGCTCCGTATCTTGTAAAGATTAAAACGGGAAATTCTGCAGGGCAGAATTTGATCTGACCTGTTTGGTCTCCATAAGTTGGAGTGACTGGCTGGCAGCAAGTTTTTGTTTGGTTACACTGGTTTGCACTTAGCTAACTGAAGGTTTATCAGTTCAAACCCACCCAGAGGTATTTGGGGAGAAAGATCTATCTACTTTTGAGAAAATCAATCATTGATGTACTGATTAGCAGTAGTTCTATCTGACATACAAGGGTTCACTATGAGTTGGAATCATTTCCATGACGATTTCATCTTACTTGGATCCTCAATCAACACCCGTGGTGCCAGCAGACAGGAGATTAGGAGAGCAGACATATTGCATTGGGAAAGTCTGCTGTCAAAGGTCTTTCCAAATCCCTGAAGAGCAATGATGTCAGTTTAAATACTAAGGTGTTCCTGATTCAAGCCATGATCTTTTCAATCACCTGCTATGCATCTAAGAGATGGACAACAAATAAGGGCAACAGAAGAAAAATTGATGCCTTTGAGCTGTAATGTTGGAGAAGAGTACTGGATATCCCATGGACCGCCAAAAGAACAAATAGATATATCATGAAGAAGGTGAAACCAGAGGGCTCTTTAGAAGCAAGGATAGTGAAACTGTCTCACACATTTTGGGCATGTTGCTAAGAGGGGCAACTCCTTGGAAATGTAGAGGGACAGCGAAAAAGAAGAAGTTCCTCAACGAGAAGGATTGACTATGGCAGTGGGCTCAAATGTGTCAGAGATGATGAGGATGATAGGACAGGGTTTAGGTCTGTTGTCCACAGGGTTGCTGTGAGACATACTCGACTTGATGACACCTAACAACAACAAACACCATGACGATAGATTTAGGGGTTTTGGCTGTCGAGTGCACCAGTGCTTCACTGGGATAAGTTGACTCCAATCACGTAAGCTCTTCTCTCAACAAAGTACAGCGTTCTAACCCAGCGAGGTGGAGCCTTGGTGCAGGCCGGGTCTGTGTAGCTAGTCCTTGGCTGGGAGGGAGAGTCCTGCTGTGGGTCCAGCGGGGCTATGGTGATTCTCCACACCATGAAAATCAGGGCGGTGTTTTCAAAAGGCCTCCAAGTTGTGTTGAGCGACAACACACAAAACCCAGTGTCCATGACCATAGTGGCCAGAGTCAAGGAATCTCGGGGGGTTCAGCCTGTATGAAGCCCTGTGGGGGCTCAGTCAGGCTGGAAATCACCCTGGAACCTGAGAACCTTTTGTCCCATCTTCAGATGCTGTAGCTTTCTGGATAATTGCTGAGGACCCAGATGGGGACACGCTGAGCTATGGGATCGACGGCCCTGAAGCCTATTTCTTCAAAGTCAATTCGGCAAGTGGGGAAGTGAGGCTGGCCAGCTCTCTGGACTACGAGGTAAAGGACAGCAGCCTTGTGGTGAAGAGGGGGAGATGGGGACGTCCCTGGGGACGAGGGTCCTACCATTGGTGCCCTGCCTGTGACCCTCACCTCACTCAAGACCCTTATCTTTGCGCTTCCCACAGACGCGGCCCATTTTCACCATCATCGTCTTTGTGAGCGACCATCAGAAGCGGGTGAGTGGGCAGGTGGAGGGGAGAGGGCATTCCAGGACTGAGAGAGCAGGGGTGGGGGACCCCCCCTTCCAGCAGCCAGAGACACCCCAACAAATAAGAACTCATTTTATGCTTATTTTTATCAAAATTATACTTGTTCGTTTTATGTCGTATTATTTCACTAAGGTCTTAAGATAACAAATAAGGACCCAGCACTGCTCATTCCAGGTGTTCCAAAGCAATCACTTTCTCTCTCTCCCCTGCCCCACCCCCAGTGCTTACTTAAAAAAAAAGTGCAGTTTTTTTAACGTGATCTAAGTAAAAGATCCCAGAGCAGATAGATCTTCCTTTCAACAACTCATACACATCATGCCTAATGACACTGATTACAATCCTCACAAGGTAACAGACTCTTCCTGCTGCGTCCCTGGGTGTCGATTTAATTTGTCCTTCTTCACTGTTCTTCTTGCCTTCTGAGCCCAGTCCCTGGACCAGCACTGCCGTCTTGCTCTTGTGTGGTTGGTCGCTGTAAGGAACTTGCCCTCCCTGGTGCTGTTGCTCCTACTGTGTGGTTGTTGTTGTTCTGTACTGTTGAGTCTGCTCTGATGTGTAATGACCCTACGAACAACAGAAACAAGCCCAGCACAATCCTGTGTCATCATCACACAAAGTCCATTAGTGTCGTCACTGTGTCACTTCGTCTTGTTGAAGGTCTTCCTTGCTTCTGCTGATTCTCTACTTTTGCAGGCATGCTGCACTTCTGCAAGGACTATCCCCTCCTGGTTGTTGTTGTTACATGCCGTCAAGCCACCTGTGACCCAGAGCAACCCCATATACAGCTGCTCTGAACCCTGCCTTGACCTGAGCCAGTCTCACTGACTCCGACACACCAACCCCCTTTACCCCAGTCATTGTATCAAGCCGTCTCCTCCGGGGTCTTCCTCTCCTGTGCTGTCCCTCCCCCTTCTGAGCATGATGTCCTTCTGCAAGGTCCCTCCTGGCCACGTGCCCAAAGTATGTGAAACGAGCTTCAAAATCCTAGCCTCCAGGGAGAAACTTGGTTTCACTCTCTCCAAGACAGACTTCTTTGTTACCCTCCCTGGTCACATGCCCAGATCCCACTGTCCTTGCTTCCAAGGAGCACTCTGGCTGCATTTCTCCCAATAAAGATTTGCTTATTCTTGTGCCAGTCCATGAGATAGTCAATATTCTTTGCCAACGCCGTAATTCAAAGGCTTATATTTTTCTTTGAGTTAAAGTCATTACTCATTGTCTACCTTTCACATGCATATTAAACAACTGAAAATACGATCTGGGTCAGGTATCCCTTATTATTGCTTCACCAGAAGTGTTCGATGGTTCCCAACTACCACGACACCATCTACTGCTTCTGGTGAAGTAATCCCTTTTCAACGTCTTTGCATGAATATTTTTGTTTCTACAAAATATGCTTATGCTGCTGTGTTCTGGTTTCCTGATTCAAGTTCTTCTCCATGGAAGTTAAGAGGTTTTGTTTCTTCCATATGAACAAACCCCATCTGTCTCGGTTTTCCAGTGCTACTGTAACACAAACACCACTAGTCGGCGGGTTTAAAGAACAGAAATGAATACATTTGCTCACAGCTCTGGAGGCTATTTATTCAAAGCAGGGTCTCAGCTGTGTTCATCCTTTTCTTGTCAGCAGCCCTGTCTGTCCCTTGGTTCTGTGTGAGTGAGTGAACACCACACTTTCCTTAACTCTGAAGTGATTAGATTGAGAACCCACCCTCCTCAGGCCAGGAGTCCCCAGGGGGCACAGATGGTTATGAATTTGACTTCTAACTGAAAGCGTGGCAATTTGAACTCACTCAGAGATAACCTCAGACGAGAGGCCAGACAATCGACTGCTGAGGAATAAGCAGTTGAAAACCCTGTGGAACAAGGTTCCACAGGGATGCACATATGGGATTAGTATAAATAGAAATACTCAAAGGTAAATAGGCTGTTTTTCTCCCTTCTACTCAGGGTATCAACTAATTAATATAACAATGAAAACTCGATTTGCGAACAGAATTGTAACTACATGTATAAAGGTTTGAAGCCCAGCACTTTTTTTTTTTGAGGGAGCAGTTTAATCCAAAATTTTAATTTACTTTGATATGCAGGAATATATTATCTCAGGAACACTTCCAGCATTACAGATAAAGATTAAACTCCCTTTGGCAAACATCCCCTCTCATTCCCATTCCCCAAACTTTTGTCTGCTGCTCCTGTACACCTTCACAAGGTCAACATTTTTATGCACATTCATGTGTCCATGGGAGAAAGATCCTTTTTGAAAACTCAGATGGAATCTGATAGAGGCTGAGTTGTGTCTCCCTAAAATGCACACGTGGAATGATACAATATGGAAGTTATGTAATGATCCCTCAAAGTCTGATAAACCAAAGAGCTGGAGGAGGGTTAAGGGTAAATGCAACCCTTGCAAATCTCATCACAAGCCTAATTGGATATATGGAGAGCTCCCTTAGAATGTACTGGAGAGGGAAAGTGGGCTGAGATGTAAGACCTCAGCACCACCAAAAATTAACCCCCAAGAGTGGTGTGTGTCTTTTGGGACCTGAGCCCCCGCATGAGGAAGCTGTTTGACAGTGAAGCTCTTTGACAAGAGGGGAAGCCAGAACATATGGAGATCTCCAGGGAATGTTAGGCCGACAGATGCTGACGGAAATGTCCCTCTTCCACAGCCGCCACACAGAGAGGCCTTTCCCCTAGAGCTTGCCTCTAGATCTAGAATGTGGACTTCTGGCCTCCTAAACTGAAGAGAACACACTTTGATTTGTTTAAGTCACCCACTTGTGGCTCTCTCATGTCACCATTAACAAACTAAGACAGAATCCCATTGTACCCGCCTTGCCCACTCAGCCTCTTGGAGATCTTTCCACACCTGCACACACGAGCCTCCCTCATTTCTTCTAATATCTGCATTTCAGACCCACTTAGTTCTCCAAGTGGTGGACACCGGGGTGTTTATAACTTTTCACCAGGAAAAATAAAGCCAAAAGGGACATTCCTGTAATAATGGGGCAGGCATATTTTAGATTTTAAAATGCCTAGATTTCCTCATGATAACTCACTCTCTAATGGTCAGAAAAAGAGCAGAGAGAAAGAGGGAGTAGGGAGGAGAGAGATGTTGATGTTGTTGTTATGTGCTGTTGAGTCACTTGCGACTCATAGCAACCCTATGTACAAGAGCCCTACACCCTGCTCTATCCTGTGCCAACCTCGCTGTCTCTGATGCACCAACTCCCATTACCCCAATCATGGAGTCGATCCATCTCATCGAGGGTCTTCCTCTCCTGCGCTGTCCCTCCACCCTTCCAAACATGATGTCCTTCTCCAAGGACTGATCCCTACTTGCAACATGTCTAAAGTATGTCATATGAAGCTTCAGAATCCTTGCCTCCAAGGAGCAGCCCGGCTTCACCCTCTCCAGGAAGAACCTGTTTGTTCTCCTAGCAGTCCATGGTATAGTCAACATTCTTCTCCAGCACCACAGCTCAAAGGCATCAATTCTCTTTCTATCATCCCTAGTTATTGTCCAGCTCTCTGATGCATAGCATGCAATCACAGCCTGACATCATTGCTCTTTAGTACTCTGGAGAGGTCCCTGAAAGCTGACTTACCCAATGCAATTCGTCTCTTGATTTCCTGGTTCCTGGTACCAAGAGACAGAGGATATAACTGCTGTATGCACTAACCAGTGAGGGAGCTCTGGTGGCCTCGTAGGGAGCTGTACCGCTAACTTGCAGCCTGCACCTCTCAGGTAGTACAAATCCTTCAGTAGCCCCACGAAAGAAAGACGGACCACCTCTTGCAGTCTCAGAAACCCAGTGGAGAATTGGGAGTGAGTTGGTTCAAACTCAACGGCAATGAATTTGAGGGGTTTTGTTTTGCTTTTTAGTGGACAGCTATGATGGGAGGCTGACAGTCAAAGAGATCTATGGTTGTGAATCAGGGTCAGGAAAATGTTAAACTCTCCTCTGCCTAGTACTTTATTATAAAGAAATATAGCTTGTAATTCTTTGTAAGAAGTTTATATCAACTAAGGTACCCTTAGACAGAAATATACGTAAAACTAGGTATCTATTGACCCATTGATAAAAATGCTGTGACCAGAGACTAACAAAACTCTAGCCTGTGTTTCCCCTGAAGCAATGGCTCCATGTTTACTACTTCAGTGTCTATGGTTACTCTAAAGACTAAAACTACTATAGAAATGAGCACCAGTTAGATATCAAATAGGAACGTACCCCCAACACTGCCTCATTGTCCTCCTGCATTGCTTGTCAACCTGATCTCTGCTGCTCAGACACTCCTGTTTGAAATGTGGGTACACATTTTCCACACTCACCTGGACTTTCTCACCTGCAGGTGCAGAGAAACCTGCTAGTGATTGTGGAGGACAGAAATGACAATGTGCCTGTGTTCCAGAACATCAGCTTGTCTGTCAGCATCAACGAGGTAGCACCTCTGTGGGAGAGGTGTGGGGGACGGGGGCACGTGAGGAGGTCTCTGAGTGAGAAGGATCAGAGGCAGCCATCCGGAAACCCAGGGTCAGAAAATGTGACTTTTAGAAGAGGCAATTACAGGAACCAAATCCAGGCTCCAGGGACAGTTGCCCTAGGAACAATTTTTTACAGCTATTCTAATGATGATTTAGCTTAGATTGGAATTGTTTCAGATATGAAAGCAAACAGAAGAGCGAGAAGGAAAAGAAAATGGTATGGTATCTCATGTATCTGAAACATGCTGTTGTTGTTTACCATAGAGTTGGAATAAACCCATAGCTGACCCTCCAGCAGGTTTTCAGAGGCAGGCAATTGCACAGGTGGAGATTGCCCGTCTTTCTCCTGCGGAGCAGCTGGTGGTTTCGAACCGAAAGACTTCGGGATTACAGCGCAGCTTCTTGCTTCTAGACCACCAGAACTAAAAGATGGAGAGATATCTCTTCTTTGATGACATGGATCCAACCATACCTGACACTGTTGTTGTTGTTGTTGTTGATTGCCTTTGAGTCGAGCACGACTCATAGTGACCCCATGAAAAAAAGGCTTGAAGCCCCTCTACAACCACCGACATTTATCTTAAAAAAAAATCCGAAACATTTAAAGATATCTAATGTCAGGTATGGTTGGATCCGTGTCATCAAGAAGGGATTTCTGCTCTGCTTCTCTTGTTGCTTCCATCCTGAGAGTAGATGTAGGGAGGTGATTTTCCCATGTGCCATTGCGAATGTCCCTCTGTTGCTCTGGATTCATATTCCATCAACTTTGGAACATCAGTAGAAGGCAATTGTCTCTTGCACAAGGGTTCCAACCAAAGATGCAGGTCTGGCTTTCATTGGCACACTTGGAGTCATGGGCCCATCATTGGATCAGTCTGGAAGTATAGAAAGCTCTGATTGGCCAGATCCACATTACAGGCCTTCCCCTGTAGCAAGATGAGGGAGTCCTATTTTACCTTCATTGCAGAAGAGGGAGATAGGAGGAAGGTTCTCCAAAGCTCTGGATCCATCCTTGCTGCATGGTATGGAGGACCTACCAAGTGTGGGGTCTTGCATTGTGCCAGAGATGAGGTTGGTGAGGTTCAGACATTTGTCCCTGGGTTCTATTGAAGCATTGATTGTTCACCAGGCACTGTCCTAGGAGAACCTGGCTGCCATTCACGTAGTAGGGAAGAACAGACAATAATCAACAAAATACAGAATAGAGATTATTTCAGATGATGCTGAATTCTATGCAAACATAAGATGGAGTAACATGAAATAAAGTGGTTGAGATGGGAGCTACTCTAGGCTGAGTGGTCAGGAAAGGCTTCTCTGAGGAAGTGACATCTAAGCCAAGAGACAGGAATGGCAAGAAGGGACCAGTTATGACAAATTCAGAGGAAAACATTCTGGGCCGAGAGATGGCAGGTGCAAAGGCCCTGAGACAGGAATGAGTCCTAGTACTCCAGGCTTATCAAGGAGGACTGTGTGCTTGGAGGCTAGAAGGTGCAGAGGAGGTGATCCTGGAGAGTGAGGAGTGTCCTGACAGCAGAGGGGATGTGGAAGTAGCCTGAACCAAATTCTGGAAGAATAGAAAACCATTAGAAGGTTTTAAACCCAAGAGTGATTTAGGATTTTAAGAGGTCTCTTTTATTGCCTGCGGGAAGTTGGAGGCAGAAGACACACATCCCAGTTCCAGGTCAAGACTCCCCCCCACCGCCCGCCAGTCTTCCAGCTTTGCAGGTTACTGCAGCCCACTGTTTGCAACAGAGTGCCCACTTGGGTGTCTGACCAGGGGCATGGCATGGTCAGGTCAGAGGTCAGGTATGATGAGTGGTGAGGGTAAGAGGAAAGAAAATGTGAAGTCCCTACTCTCCTCACAGTTGCTTTCAGAGACCCCCTGCGCCCCACGCAGAGGGCAAAGGACACAACTGTGAGTCACCTGTGCCTCTGAGGTATTATTGCTGTCGATGATACACTTGAGGAGGGACTCAAGAAGGGGTATGAGGAAATACAAGTGGAGATGAATTTGGATTTACAGGTGACAAACCTTTCCTTACAGACCCTGCCAGTCGGCTCTGTGGTGACCACTGTGCTGGCCACAGATAAAGACACAGGACCTGGGGGCTTGGTGTCATACTTCATAGAAAAGGTAAGTGTAAAAAGTCCCTGTGAGGTGTGGGTGAACGCGTGCCCTGACCATTCCTGGTGGCCACCAGGGGGCAGCACCTACCCAGATAACCATAAGGCCCTTGAGCGTTGGCGTGAGGACAGTGGTTCTGTGGTGGCCAACCCTTGTCTCATGTCTTCCTCTGACCCTATCTGGGTCTCACTTTTCTCAGAAGGTTGTCTGCTATGGACTGGATTCTTCTTCCTACTTTTTTTCTCAGCTAAATTTCTTTCTCAAAGGCTAATGCCACATCATCAGGTTCACAGAAGAAGAAACTGAGTTTCAGAGAGATTCAGCCTCTTGACCAAAGTCACACAGACAGTAGGGTATATAAACCCATTTCTCACTATAGCAAACTTGCTAGCTATGGCTCTCATTTATTTAGCACCAACTGTGTGTCTGGTGTGTATGCCATCTCAATGAATACTCCTTTGGATCCACTGAAGGAATAGCCTGAGCTTTGCTCCTCAGAGGCTCAACAAGGTCACATAAGTTGGCTAAGGTCATCTAGATGGTCAATGACAGAGCCAGGATTCAAACCGTGGTCCCTCAGGGTGAGGGTCATCAGGAACAAGCTGTCCCATGGGAACCTGGCCTGAATGTGCTGTGTCTCAGGTCATACCTTACAACCCCTTCTGGATCCTGCCCAATGGCTCCATTATTCTCAACGACAGCCTCAGCTACAACAACAAGAGTGCCTTCTATCAACTGGAGCTGAAGGCCTGTGTGAGTAGTGTGGCTGCTGGTAGGGTTGGAGGGGGTGGGGGAATCTGTGGGCCTGAATCACGTCAGGCCTTGTCTCCCTTTAGGACGCAGGTGACAACAACGGCAGTAACATCCTGTGCTCCCCTTCTGTCGTCTTGTCCATCTCTGTGATTGACCAGGCTGACCTGGACCCCCAGTTCGTCAGGGACTACTACATGGCGTCTGTGTCTGAGGACGCACCCAATGTGTGTGGGGACCTGGAAGGGCCTGGGTAGAGATGTCGGGAAACAGGGGAAAGGATCTGGGCCCTTACCATGTGTTCTTCCAGGGAACCTCGGTACTGAAGGTGGAGGCTGTGGACAGAGACAAAGGCATCAACGATCCTGTGATCTACAGGATCTCCAGTGAGAACCAGGTGTCCCCAGGTGGGGGGCTGGGGTGTGGAGTGGAGCAGGGCTTTGTCAGCAGCACTGGAAGCAGCTTTCTGTCTGTCTCCACAGACTCCACAAGGCCTGGCTGGTTTGACATCGAGAACGACGGAGTCATCAAGGTCAATGGTTCCCTAGACCGTGAGCAGCTGCTGAACGAGGATGAGGAGGTGCAGGTGCAGGTCACGGTGAGTGAGGGCTCCTAGGACTCTGCTGGACCGCTACTTCTTAGCTCTCTCTGAGCACTGGTTCTCTCTGCTCTCTGCCTTCAGGCCACTGAGAAGTCCCTCAACATCTATGGGCAGGAGGCTCAGGTGAGCATATGGGTCACGCTGAGAGTAACAGACGTCAATGACCACAAACCCGAGTTTTACAACTGCACCTTCTCGGCCTGCACCTTCACACCACAAGAGGCCCAAGTCAACTTCACCGGCTTCGTGTATGAGCACTCCTCGGCCCGCATCCCCATTGACAACCTCACGCTGGTGGCCTACGACCCAGACAAGGCAGGCAGGGGAGGGGCTGAATGGGGCATGATTGCGGGTGGGACAGGGACAGCTGGGGGAGGGCAATAGTTGGGTGTGTACACTGGTGTGTGAGAGTGTAAAGAAGGGGGCAGGGGGTATGTGAGGATATCTGATGTAGATACAGCATGATGAAGGTGCAGATTAGTGACTGGAGGGACAATGTGTGTTGCTGAGTGACCACCGGAATGTGGAGTGATGTTGAACAGTGAGTAGCATTGTGTACTGGGCAATACCAGGTGGTGTTGAATAGCAAGAGAATATGAAGTGGAGATTGGCATTGGGTGGTGGGTAATATTGACTAAAATACAGTCTTTTACTGGCAGAGGGTGGTCATGACTGGTTAATGAAGCTGAGTGATGTTGTTGGGTCAGTAGTTTGGGGTAAGTATTGAGCAAGCAAGATTCTGCTGAAAATTATCCAAAAACGACTGGAACAGCACATCAGCAGAGAACTGCCAGAAGTCCAGGCTGGGTTTAGAAGGGGTCGTGGTACTAGGGACATTGTAGCTAATGTCAGATGGATTTTGGCTGAAAGCAAGGAATACCAGAGCAATGTCTATCTGTGTTTCATTGACTATGCAAAGGGGTTTGACTGTGTGGATCATAACAAACTGTGGCTGACTCTGAGAAGAATGGGAATCCCAGAACACTTGATCGTAATCTGACGCCTATACTTGGACCAAGAGGCAGTCGTCAGAACAGAGCAAGGAAACCCTGCATGGTTCAAAATTGGGAAGGGCGTATGCCAGGGATGTGTCCTGTCTCCATACCTTTTCAACCTGTATGCAGAACAGATTATCTGGGAGGCAGGGCTCTCTATGAGGAGAAATGTGGGGTCAAGATTGGTGGAAGATCTATTAACAATCTGCGTTATGCAGATGACACAACCCTGCTTGCTGAAACTGAGGAGGACCTGAAGTGCTTGCTGCAGAGGGTCAAGGACTGCAGCCTTCAGTATGGATTGAGGCTCAATGTCAAGAAGACAAGGATTCTCACCACTGGACCAATTGGCACCATCAGGATGGATGGTGAAGAGATTGAGATTGTACACAGCTTTAGTTTGTTTGGCTCCACAGTCAACACTCTTGGCCAGTAACCAGGAAATTAAAAGACATATTGCGATGGAAAAGTCTGCTGTTAGGGACCTTCCCAAAGTTCTGAAGAGCAATGGTGTCTCTCTGGAGACTAAGGTGCATCTGATACAGGCCATGGTCTTTGCAATCACTTGTTGTGCATCAGAGAGTTGGACAATGAGTAGGGAGGATAGAAGGAGAATTGATGCCTTTGAGCTGTGGTGCTGGAGAAGAGTATTGAGGGTACCATGGACTGCTAGGAAAACAAACAGATTCACCCTGGAGAGGGTTAAATCAGGCTGCTCCTTGGAGGCAAGGATTCTGAGGCTCCATCTAACATACTTTGGACATGTTGTAAGGAGGGACCGGTCCTTGGAGAAGGACATGATGCTTGGTAGGGTGGAGGGACAGCGCAGGAGGGGAAGGCCCTCTATGAGGTGGATTGATTCAGTGACCGGGGTAATCGGGATGGGTGTGTAGGAAACAGTGCGATTGGCACAGGACTGAGCAGAGTTTAGGGCTGTTGTACATAGAGTCGCTATGAGTCGCAAGTGACTCGATGGCACATAACAACAACAACAACAACAAGGGGTGGTCTGAGTGAGCATTAATTTGGAAAGCAAGCCAAAGGATCACTAAGAGTCATCTATGATTCAGTGGCACTTAACAACCACAACAGCATAGAGAGAGCTCAGTTGGCCTAGTGGACAGAAATTGATGCTACGAAGCCAAAGATGGGTGTTTTTAGTCTGCTGTCCTCAGGCCAGTTTTAACTGTTTTTGGTCAAACATTCTTCTAAGTGGTATAGCCCTGGTCTGTCCACTTGCTGTACAGAGGTAACTCATGGTTGCTATGATGCAGAACACTGTGACACTGATGCATCAAATGCGATAATGGTTACCCCTGGTGCACAGTGTTTGGTGGAGCTCCCCGATTAATCAAGCTTGGAAGCAGGAGTGGCATCCACTTCTGAAATAGCTTGCATCTAGAAACCCTATGGAGTTGGAGAAACAATGAAAGTTATACAAGTGTTCAGGTCTTTCGTTCATAGGGTCGCTATGAGTATACGACTCAACGGCACTTAACAACAACAACAGCTATAACAGGGGTGGTCTGAGTGAGCATTAATTTGGAAAGCACTCTGACATGGAGATTGATGCAGAGTATTAAGTAGTTTGGGTGGTGGTGAATGATATATAACAATGAATGGTCTTTGGTGATGTTGAGTTGGTACAAAATGATGAGTGGAAGATGATAATGGGTTGTGCTAGAGTGGTGGGTGGTGTCGAACTGAGGCAGCTGATGCTAAATGGAAGGTGGTGTTGAGTTGGTATGTGTTGGGGTGCCGGATAGTGTTGAGTGTAGGGTTGTGTTGAATTGGTGCCGGATGTAGAGCAGAGAGTAGTATTAAGTAGTGGAAGGTTGACAGGTGGTATTGAGTTGGTAGTTAGGGTTTGTTGTTTGCTTTAAACTGTGGTGGCAATATACACAACGTTCTTTACTTGATAATTTCAGGGAGTCTCTAGAGGATGTGAACAGTTAAGTGCTCTACTACTATAAAAAAATTAGTGGTCTGGACCGACTTAGGCTGGCAATTTTCTTCCAAAAGTGCATAGGTTTATATGGTGCCACTGTTGTAAAGCAGGACTGACCTCGGGGTTGGGAGGAGACTGAGGAGGATGGGTTCAATAATGTATAGTGCATTGAAACAGATGAGGGAGAAAACTGTTTAAGAGGGAAAATTATTAGAGATTTTGTCACGACAGGAGTCCAAAGCGAAGGCTGTATAGTGGAATGGACCTAGGGGAGGAATTGTAAAACAATGAAAGAATTTTTCTTTTACTTTTCCAAGAGGATAGTGTACTAGAGGGGAGGGTTGGGAGGGGAGAAATGTGCAATAATGAATGAATGGAAATCCAAAGTCTCTGTAAATTTTCATTGAAATTATTAATAAATTTTTAAAAAGAAAAGATTCTCTGGAGCAATTCTAGTCTACACACATGGGATCAACTCAGTGGCAACTAACAACAGCAACAGATTTTAGTGGAAATTATTACATTCATTATGTTGTGCAACTATTCTCATTATCTTTTACCAAATCATTCCACCACTATTAATATCAACTCAATGCTCCCTAAAAAAACCCCCTACTCTTTCCTTGCTCTTTCCTTCTCCTGGTATCCACTAATAATTTTTGTCCTACTTCCTAAATAACATACCTCTGGAAACTCTATGAACTTTGATAAATGTCTATAGTTGTAGAGGGGCTTCAGGCCTTTTGTACATGGGGTTGCTATGAGTCATGCTCGACTTGAAGGCAATCAACAACAACAACAACAGCAACAATGTTTGCCTATTTCATATAAACAAGAAAATAATAGTATTTTTTTTCTTTTTAATTGACTTATTTATCTCATACAAATTATGGCTAGCATTGAGAAAAATGGAAACCCAGAACACTTAATTGTGTTTATGTGAAACCTATACCTAGACCAAGAAGCTATTGTCTAAACAGAGCAAGGGAACACTACATGGTTTAAAATCAGGAAAGGTATGCATGAGGCCTATATCCTCTTTCTAAATCTATTCAATTTTGTATATAAATCATCATCTTTTCAATTGCTCGTGACACATCTGGAAGCTGGACAATGGCTAAGAAGGACAGAAGAATGGATTCCTTTGAATGGTGGTACTGGAGAAGAATTCCTTTATTGTTCATAGGGTTTTCATACATCTGCTAGTTCAGAAGTAGATGGCAAATCCTTCTTAGTCTGTCCTGCTCTGGGAGCTCTACTAAAACCTGTTCACCATGGATGACCCCTCTGGCATTTGACACACTGATGGTACAACATTTAGTATTACAGCACCCGTAAATGGCCTGAGTACAGCAAACTAACAGACAAGTGCTGTACTAATTAGAATAATGATAAAACAAGGAAGAATATAGATACCAAAGAGACAAAGTAATTAGCAATATGCAGAACATTCTCCCAACAAACTGACAGATATGTCTCACAGTTTAGGAGATTCCAAGTCTGAATCCCAGGTATTGGAATGAATAAGGATGCAATGTGGTGTTGGAAGAGAGTACTGAATATCTTATGGATGGCCAAAAGAACAAACAGATATGTTTTGGAGAAAATGAAGCCAGAGTGATCAATGGAGGCAAGGATGATGAAGCTTTGTCTCACATACTTTGAGCATGTTGCTAAGAGTGGCTATTTCTTCGAGAAGGATATAATACTTGGAAAGGTGTAAGGAGGGGAAATGAGAGGAAGACCTTTACCCAGGTGGATTGGCACAGTGACTGCTGCAGTGAGCTCAAGTGTGTTCGACACTGAGGTTGGCACAGAATAGAACAGGGTTCAGATCTTTTGTTCGTAGGGTCACTTTGAGTTGTACACAACTTGACTGCACCTAACAACGATAATTCGAGAATACCAAATATCTCATGTGCTGCCAGGAGAGCATACTTTGGGCATGTTGCAAGGAGGGACTGGTCCTTGGAGAGGGACATCATGTTTGGGAGAGTAGAGGGACAGCACAGGAGAGGAAGACCCTCGATGAGATGGATCTATTCTGTGACTGGAGTGGTGGGAATGAGTGCATTTGAGATGGCTAGGTTGGCACAGGATAGAACAGTGTTTAGAGCTCTTGTACATAGGGTCGCTATGAGTCGCAAACGACTCGATGGCACATAACAACAACAGCCAGGAGAACAAACAAATATGTCTTGGAGAGAGTGCAGCCAGGGTACTCATTAGAGGGAAGGGTGGTGAAACTCGACCTCACATAATTTGTCCAGACCTTGGAAAAGATGTCTCTGAAAAGTGGAGGGTCAGCAGAAGATCATCAGTGAGACAGATTAACATGGGCATTATAACAATGGCCCAAGCATATCAGAGAT